ATAGATAGGTAGATAGATAGATAGATATACCTTGGGAGATCACTCGCTCACCAATTGTTCGAAGACGCCTATCACGAGAGAACGAATATGACATGACGCTGTTGTATCATGATGAGGCGTGAGTGTAGTGTATCACGTGCCATGTCTGTTTTGTATGATGGAGAGGCGTGAGTGTAGTGTATTATGTGTTGTGTGCTCTCCTTTGATCATCCAGAGTCTCTAGAATTAAGGCATCGTCACCGAGCTACTCAGATTCGTCTGTCCCGCGCATGACGTCACTTGGCGTAAAGCTTGGGGGTCCGACGCTAATCTGCTGGTGTCAGTCGTGGGCTTAATGTAGACTGTATATACCTTCCTCTTTCACTTTTTCGCTCGCAGGACTAACTGGCGCTCACAGAAGCCGCAGTGCCCAGTATGTGTTCATTGGTTGCGTGCTACACTGGAACCCCCATAAGTATGTCGTTTATCATCGATTTCCAAAGGAGAAAGGAGCAAGAAGAGACTGGGTCATATTATGTGAGAACAAAAAAAGTTAATGTTATAACTGCAAGAATCTGCATCATTATTATGATTATTATCATTAGTATTATGATCATTATCATCATCATTATTATGATGATCATTATCATCATCATTATTATGATGATCATTATCATCATTATTATGATGATCATTATCATCATTATTATGATGATCATTATCATCATTATTATGATGATCATTATCATCATTATTATGATGATCATTATCATTAGTATTATTATGATCACTATCATCTCATCATTATTTATGATCATTATCATTAGTATTATGATCACTATCATCTCATCATTATCATTAGTATTGTTATTATGATCATTATCATTAGTATTATGATCACTATCATCTCATCATTATCATTAGTATTGTTATTATGATCATTATCATTAGTATTATTATTATGATCATTATCATGATTGTTATGATCAATATCATCTTCATTATTATTATCATTATCATTATTATTATTATTATTATTATTATTATTATTATTATTATTATTATTATTATTATTATTATTATTATTATTATTATTATTATCATCATCATTATTATTATGATCATTATCATCATTATTATTATGATCATTATCATCATTATTATTATGATCATTATCATCATTATTATTATGATCATTATCATTAATATTATTATTATTTTGATCATTATCATAATTATTATTGTTAAGATCATTATCATTATTGTTATTATCCTTATCATATGATATAATAATAACGATAACAATTATGATAATTATTGCCATAAGTATTATCAGTATCAATATCATCATTATTATAATTATCAAGATCATCATTATTGTAACTATCAACCTCATCATTATCTTTATCATTATCATTATTATTATCATTATTATTATTACCCACCCTATTACTATTACTGTTAACATTACTAGTATCATTACATAATCCTTCTTTTTGCTGCAATTTTACTATTTTGAGTTTTAGATCATCACCATCATTGTCAGAATGATCATTATAAAGGTTTTCATTAATAGTGCTGTTATTACTATTACTATTACTTTTACTATGAGTATAATTATTATGGTGTTGTCTGAGATACCTTCTTGACACTGTTTTAATGTCTTTAGCTTTAGACTTAACACTTTCTGGTGTAAGGTCACTCAGGGTCAGATCAGCAAGCTTGCAGGAGATCTTGGTTAATATTATTATTATTATTATTATTATTGTTATTATTAAATATTGTTATTATTTTATAATGTTGTCATTGTGTATTATCATTATTGTTATTATTATATAATGTTATTATTATTTATTATCATTATTGTTATTATTATTATTATTGGCATTATTATTATTATTATTATTATTATTATTCTTATTATTGTTATTATTATTATAGTTATTATTCTTATTATTATTATCATTATTATCATTATCATCATCATCATCATCATCATCATCATCATCCTCCTCTTCATCATCATCATTCATATTCATATTCATTATCATTATTATCATCATGATCATTATCATCATTATGATATATGACAGTATTATTATCATATATTGTTATTATATTGGTATTATAATTTATTATTATTATTATCATTATCATTATCATTATTATTGTTATAATTATTATTATTATTGTTATCATTATCATTATACTTATTATTGTTATAATTATTATTATTATTATTATTATTGTTCTTGTTCTTGTTCTTGTTATTGTTATTGTTATTATTATTATCATCATCATGATCATCATCATCATTATTATTATTACAATTACAATTGTTATCATTATTATTATCGTTATTGTTGTTATTATTATAACACTATTTTTTATCATTATCATTATTATTATTTTATTTAATTATTATCATTATCATTATCATTGTCATTGTTATTATTATTGTTATTATTACCATTATTATTATAATTATCATTATTATAATTATCATTATCAGTATCATAATCATTACTATTGATATCATTATTGTTATAATCATCAGTACCATTATTGATATCAGTACTATTATCTTTATTACTATAAGGATAATAATTAATATTGATTTTGCTATTACTACTACTATTATTATTAATGCTATTATTATCATATTATCTCAGATATACATTCTTCATGCAGCTGTTTTAGTATTATTAGCTTTAGACTTGGCAATACAAGATCACTTGGGGTCAGACTGGCACTCAGTCATTTCCCATCCCTTAAAGAGTTAAAATGACATTGATGATAATTATTTTCCTCTTACAGGTGACCCAAAGCCTGTCAACATTGCTTAAAATCATGGTCGAAAAGGTGATGATTTTCACATTCAGTCGCAGTGCAATTTGAACAATGTGCAGAGAGAAGAGCCAGTGCCTATGCCGACAGAACAGGGTGCGTACAATTATATTAATTACTGTTTTATGTTTTGGGAGTGTAGTGTGTATTGTAAGAGTTTTATCTGCTAGATTTCCAGTCATAGCAGTGGTGAGTGACCTGGGGGCCTCTAATTTATAGGTTTGGAAGTCACTGGGTATAAGCATCAATGCAAATAGCTTTACCAATCCAGTAGACTCCAGACAGACAAATTTATATTTTAGCTGATGCCCCTGATTAGAAATCACTTTAACATGGGATTCATGCTGGCTGAAGGGAAGTTTGTAAATAGCTATATACACTACTCCATTCCACATCTTATGAGGAAATTCATGTGAGTTTCCCTACCCAACAGACCATCTTGGAGCACAATCTGGGGTTCATAAAGAGTAGTTTACCCGCAACCCTATTTGGGAGACATGGAAAGTCTATGATATGCTCGCCCTCAAGTAGGCTTACCTTTTATAAGTTGGGATCAAGTGCCTAATCAGAACTCAGAGTTGTTGTAGAGGGCTTGGGAGACAGAGACTTTGTCACAATTCTTTATCATAATAATACTATATTACCTTTGATGTCTAGCACATTTACTTTAACCATCAACCATTCTGGGAATCCAAAAACAGCGCCTGGGGGCTTCCCTTCCAAGTCCCACCCTATTGCTGCATTTTGAATAGGTTGCTAATGACCTTGGATGCTGAATTGGCTGAAAATTTTCAATAAATAGATAATACATGAAAGACTGACTAGACTTTATTATTTAAATGAAGCATATATATATATATATATATATATATATATATATATATATATATATATATATATATATATATATATATATATATATATATTCATATAAACATTCATACATATACACGTATGTGTACATGGATGTATCCATACATATGTATACATATATACATATATATGTATGTATCTATATATATGTATACATACATACACATATATGTATGTATGCATATATATGTATACATGTACATGTATATACATACATACATATATATGTATGTATATATACATGTATATATGTCTATTTGTATACATATATATATATATGTACATATATACACACACACATATATATATATATATATATATATATATATATATATATATATATATATATATATATATATATATATATATATATATATGTATATATATATGTAAAATATATATATGTATGTATACATACATATATACACATTATGAATGAGTATATATATATATGCATACATACTAATATATATATATATATATATATATATATATATATATATATATATATATATATATATATATATATATATATATACACATATATTTAATATATATATATATATATATATATATATATATATATATATATATATATATATATATATATATATATATATATATATATATATATACATTATACATATCTACCTATATATATACAAGTATGATATACATACTTATATATACACACATGTGTATGTATATATGCATAATGTATATATACATACTCATATAAATGTATATATATTCATACATATCTATGTATCTCTGTATATATATACATATATTTAGAATATATATATATATATATATATATATATATATATATATATATATATATATATATATATATATATATATATATATATATATATATATACACATATATATGCATATATATACATAAATATATGCATATATATATATTATATATGTATATGTATATATATATATATATATACATATATATATATATATATATATATATATATATATATATATATATATATATATATATATATATATATATATATATATATTTAGAATGTTTCTACCATCACAGGCTTGAATTCTAGCCTAAATTTATCCATCAATAATATAGACATTTGTGCAGATTGGCACCACTGCTCAACCACTGCATTGGTTTTGATCCAAGAATGGAGCTTCACTTGAGTTTCTCCTCCCTCCTCCTCCCTCCTCCTCCTCCTCCTCCTCCTCCTCCTCCTCCTCCTCCTCCTCCTCCTCCTTCCTCCTTCCTCCTCCTCCTTCCTCCTCCTCCTTCCTCCTTCTCCTTCCTCCTCCTCCTTCCTCCTCCTTCTCCTCCTCCTCCTCCTCCTCCCTCCTCCCTCCTCCCTCCTCCTCCTCCTCCTCCCTCCTCCTCCTCCTCCCTCCTCCTCCTCCTCCTCCTCCTCCTCCTCCTCCTCCTCCTCCTCCTCCTCCTTCCTCTCTTCTCTCTCCTCCCTCCTCCCTCCTCCCTCTTCCCTCCTCTCTCCTCCTCCTCTTCCTCCTCCTCCCTCCCCCCTCCTCTTCCCTCCCTCTTTCTCCCTCCTCCTCCTTCTCCCTCCTCCTGCTTCCCCCCTCCTCCTCCCTCCCTCCTTCTCCCTCCTCCCTCCTCCCTTCTTCTTTTTCTTCTTCCTCTTCAATCCATCTACAGCATTCTGTGCAAGCAATAGGAGACCTCACAATGCCCATCCCATGCCCACTTCCCTTAGAACCTTCTCTTCTCCTTTACTGCAGTGCTCTCTGGCATGGTCAAGCTCTTTGTGGCATTGCTTTGTGTTTTATATATATGTTTATATATATATATATATATATATATATATATATATATATATATATATATATATATATATATATATATATATATATATATCTTTGTAATGCAAAAATATGTGATTATCACATGATTTATAGCTATGCAGAATATCATGAGTATCTTTTTCTTCTGCTTTTTTATCACTATACATGGTTTATGTATTTAAGTAAACATGTATATATATACTTTTTTCAAAGAGTAGCTTTTTTAGACTTAATATTCCACTGTCTAGTAACTATTTGACATACCAACAAGAGAGATATTCATTTTCTGGTGTGTTAAATTAAGTTCTGAGTAAGATAAAAACCAAATTTGTCCCAGGTAAAGGCTGAAAATGCTGGTTGATTGTGGCTTTGGGGTAAAGACAGCTTGAGGAACTGGTCATTAGGGATCAGCATAAAAAGGTGACATTTTGTGAGACCAGAGAATGGTGAGGAAATTGGTTGTCCCTCAGTCACCCCTAAAGAGCAAACTCCTATTACAACCTGGCCGCTTTGCCTGATAGTATTTTCTGTGGTGGATTACCATATCAATCTTCCACTTTTGAACATAACCTTCTTGTTCTCTTAAAATAAGCCTCAAAATCATAGCTTTACTTAATGCTTAAAACTAATGTTAAGTTCTGATTTCCCAACCAGTTTGGCATTTTGCTGTTTGACTGACATAGAGCTTGATAGAAATTATTTTCATGTGTCTCACTCGACCTTGTTTGCTTGAATGAACATGTGTAAATTTATGTATCATTACTTTAAAGAACGCTTTTATTTTCTACAGGAAGAGATACACAGCTTAGGCACTGAGGCAGAACCCATATTCACGACATGGGAGGAGGAAAGGCCCCAAAACAGCAGTGGAGATGCTGTGGATTATGCTTTTGTCATGGAACTTCAGAAGGTCATACAAGATGGGAATTATACTCCTGATCAGTTTTTCACCGCAACCAAGACAAGCCTCTTTTGGAAACATCTTCCTGCCCAGACCTTCATCAGTTAGAAGGAAAAGAAGTGAGTGACCTATTCAGTCTTCTGCTGTGTGCAAATGTATCAAGCGACCTCAGACTAAAGCCTTTTCTGGTTTATCATACTCTCAGAGGAAATGAAGGTGACATCACTCCAGAAGTTGCCTGTACACTGGAGATTTAACAAAAGAGTTTCTTTGACAGCAAGATTGTTTGAAGACTGGTTTGCCAAATGTGCTGTTTCAGAAATCTCATCTTACTGTAAGCAGAAGAATCTTGAAGAAAAATCAGTTCTACTAGTTGATAATTGTCTAGGTCATCCTGAGGTAGTCACTGATATTCATCCGACTATCAGGGTCATGTCTTCTTCCATACAGTATGTGGATCAGTTTGCCATTACTCGGTTTAAGCAGCTTTACACCAAATTCTTTTTGCACAAGATGCTTTTCTTCACAGGAGGTAGGGATGAAAGCCAAGTTGAGAACTTCTGGTTGTCCTTTAGCATCAAGGAGGCACTCATTATCATCAGAGATAGTTGGATGGCTATTAAAACTCCATTTCTGAACAGAATCTAGAGGTATATGTGGTGTGGTATCCTCCAAAATTATGTAGAACCCCTGATACGTTGGGGGAGATTCAGGAGATCCAGGAACTCGCAAACAAAATTTCTGGTGAAGACTTTATGCATATCACCAACGATGATATTCGCAGTCACATAAAATCACATCGGAAAAATCAATCAGCAGAAGAGTTAACACAGCTGGCCAAGGCTATTCAGGAAGATGACAACCAACAGGAGATTCCAGAATCATCTTTGCCATCAACCTCAGAACTGAAAAGCATTATAAAGCTGCTTTACAGAACTGAAAGAGCATTGATAGAGAGAGAGTGGAACCCTTTGAGGTTGGAACACAACCTGACTCACCTCAGAAGTATAAGGGCTATATAAATATGGATGCATTAGAGAAAAGAGAGAAAAAAGGCTGTCATATTTTTATTATTTTAAATATGATTTACATTGAAA